TGCAAGCCTACAAGGGAATCTGACTGAAAGCCCAGCAATACACAATCCTATAGTATAATGCACTACTTAAGGGCACAGGAAAGTTGTACATTGCGTGGCTGTAATCTGAGAGAGGCTGTCACACACAGCATCCAAAGGGCAAGATACTGTTTTGGCAATATAACATCCGGCGGAGAACATTTTGCACTCAAATGCCAAGTTCTGAGGCTAAGAGCGTGACACTGACTCTGCCTCCCCATGTACCTGCCACACTGCAGTTCAAACTGCAATGTTAAGGAGCATGGAGATAATGCAACAGAGTATATGGAACAGCCCCTGTCTCCCAGGATGGTTATGTTGAGGAATAGGGAAGGATCATTAGTCTGGTGGAGGGAATCCCTGAGGAAAGCTGCCCTAGGCAGCTCAGAGTCTTGCAGCAGGCTGCAGGAGTTAGCACTGAGTTAAGGGGAGAGGTATTATTGACCAATCCAGTTATATCCAAAGTCCATTACACTCAGGGGAGCCCTGGAAACCATAGGGCATATGGGTAGCCAGGATTAATTGGGGATAGTCAGGATTAATTAGAATGGGAACCATTGTGAAACCTTATCCATCCACGTTTTGGGCACCTTTACCATCCACATTTTGGGAACATTCTGCGTGTAAAGAAAGTTGTAGACAAACTGGAATGAGTCCAGACGGTGGTGACAAGAAAGATCAGAAATTCAGAAAACATTGCCTAGGAGGAAAAGTTGGAGGAATGTGAAGTGTTTAGTGAGGGCACGAAAAAGGTCTTGCAATAGTGCTACAAAGAGGATAGCGATCAACTGCTCTCCATTGCTAATAGGGAAGGGCAAGAAGAAATCAGCTTACTTTGCAGCAAATAAGATTTATGTTGGATATTAGAAGAAAAAAACTATCTAAGAGCAGAGACAGGTGATCACATAGCATGGTGTAATTTACATCAGTTTTGTATACTGATGTAAGTTACTCCAGGATTTGGAGTGGACAGACATAGTGCTGTGTACAGTAGGTGGCTATGTCTGTGCCTCAGTTGCAGGAAACAGGGGAGTAAGTAATAGCCTGTTTGCCGTGACCAGAGGCTTACCTGGGATGGACTGAGATGAAATCTAAAATGGTGTACCTTATGCTTATAGGCTCTTACCCTTGATTCTACCAAAGATAATTGTCTACCAGACTGGGCAAGGTTACCCCTGGTTAGAGTTTTATGTTGACTATCCACACGTTTTATAGTGAGTAGCAACCAGGGTCCACTGATGATAATATTAGATACCACCTGAGTATGCCACATTCTGATCCACTAGATTATCGTCTGCACAGTACAGCAAAATAGCATGCAATGCAACAGAATCAGCGACTTCTCTCTTCTGCCCATCATGCCCATCCCCATGGCTTCTGAGCACATTCTACTATACTACGCAGCAAAACACATCACAGCATAATAGGGCAAGGTGGCTGTTTCCACTGGAAACCTAAACCCGGAAATGTATCTCCTTCCCCATCCCTTCTGCTCCTTTATCTGTTCCATCTGTGGGTTTCCATTTCCCCCCCCAGGTACCATTATCTCCTGTTACGTGTGCTGGAAAGGAGTTCATTTCCTCACCATCAAGATGCTATGAAGCATTGATGTTCACTGTGGTTGCTCTGCAGACCATGGGGAGGGTGGAGGTACTGGTGAGGAGAGACCTACCTAGGAGGGACTAGTTCAAACCAGCCTCAGTGGAAAATTCACTCCCTGCCACATCCTTCAGCTGTTTACTGACTCGGAGAAGTTCTCGCAGCCCCAGAACAAAGAAGGCTTTGCCCTATGCCACAGGAAGGCTGAATGAAGCACCAAAATAGCAACAAAGCCAAGGCAGCCTGTAGCTGAGACAAAGAAAGAATGAAAGAATGAACAAAAGAACAAATTAAAGCAAGCAAGCAAGAACTCAAAAAAAATGGATGAATGGATAGATAGACCGTCTGGTATGAGATGGATGGATGGATGGAATGAAATGGGAGGGTGACTGGGTGGATGGATACACAGACAGATAGGTGTCATTCAGATTAACACTCTCAGTAAACATATTCAGACCTCTCAAAATTCTGTACTTTACTTGTGAAAAAGGAGAGGAGGGGCTGACATCTCAGTGATAAAAAGAGAATAAATGTGTATCAAGTAACCTGCCACCCATTTATAACAGAATCCTAGGGTTAGAACGCACATCAAAGGGCATCTAGTCCACTGCCTGGCACAAAGGCAGGCTGTGTTGTTCTTAAACCATTCCAGACAGATACCTGTCGAGCAACATAAGAGGCAAACTCCTACCCCCTGGACAGGCTAGAGCTTCCTTTCTGTAAGCATCAGCACATTTCTTTGGCTTGTTACTTAATGGCTGTTGACATTACACAGGCAGAGATAGACACATGAAACATTTCTCTGGCTATCTAACGAGTGGTCAGCTCTCTACCCTAACCCTAGACCCTCAACCTCACCACAACCATAGACCTGATTCTTCTCTCACTTATCCCAGGCAAGAGAAAAATGCATAAATAAATAGCATTATTACTACAGAGTAAAAAATCCTCCCGAGCCGAAAAGCCAAGTATAACTGAGGCATCCCTCATTTCTGTAGCCAACAGCACACAAGGGAGTGATATGTCCAGCATTACATCAGCCACCTTTGATTCTCCAGCCTGCATGTACCCAAATGACTACATAATCACGTACAGCTGGATCAGTTGGGGGACAACCTTTGGCATAAACTGAGAACAGAGCTTCAACTCAAGGCTTTGGAACCAAAGCAAAATACCGCAACGACCCTGCCATACAGAATACTGAAATAACCACTACACACATCTACTAGAGCCAATATAAACTGATTGTCCCTGTCCAAGAAACACTGAAAGCACCCTTAAAATTCTTCTACTCACAAATGTATCTTCTGAGAGAAAATATATATCAGTCCAGATCCTCAGCTGGCATAAATTAGACCCAGTCCATTGACTTTTACAGTGACACCATTTTACACCCACTGAGGATTTGCCCTTATGATGTTCTTTACAGGAAAAATCTGAATTATAATGAGTTTGGAATTAAGTGACAGGCTTCCTCCATCTGTGAATACAAATTATTTCAGGCTCTGAAAGAGAGACAAGGAGGCCAAAATCTTTCTGACAGCTGCCCTCCTGAAAAAATCTTTAGGACTATTAATCTATTGACATTTTGGTTCCAGTCACCAGGAAAAATATAGCTAATGCAGATATTATTAATACATTAATACTGTGATAACAATTGATGGGCTGATTTTTAGTCAAATTGTAGTTGCTTTCTACTCACTTTAAGACTTCCTTTGCCAGGGCAGAGTGGTGTAAATGACATTAGAGTTAATAAGATTCAGGCCCAGTAAAGATATTATAATAATGTATCATAATGCACAGCTACACCATCTGACAGAGAGGAATGAAAGGCTGGGCTGATCTGTATGCCAAACACAATTGAGCGAGACGGGTAACATTCAAAACCATATAAGGCAAGCCTCAATTATCCAGAATCTGGTTAGCTGCATTTCAGATCATCTCAAATGTGTATCATTTCTCCAGCTCTGCAATTCATACTGAAAGTGAATTGTGCTCTTCTGAGCTTCAGATATTCCAAGGTTTTAGGTGCCATAGAAGAGACCTCTCAAAATTTGGGGCCAGATTCCCAGCTTCTGTAAATCATCTGCATCTCTTTAGAGTCAAGGGGACAGATCTTCAGCTAATGTAAATCAATGCCGCTGTTTAAATAGACCCCTCATATCAGTCTCTGCCCCCTTTTTCATATTAAAATTTTAGTCCATTTCAAGTACAAGAATCTAAAATACTCAGTTCTCTTATTGAATCAATGCGTGTACTGGGGAGAGATGTCAGACGAGCTTTTAGGTATTGCCTCATCTCATAGATCTTGCTTCTCTTGTGGCCCTGAACCATCATCGCTGCAACAATGCTGCTACTACAACATTCAGTCCATTCAACTTCATATTGTGCATCGGTTTAACTTACACCTTTCACTCAGTTTGGGCTATGAAAAGTGGGCTCTCCAGCTTCTTGTCAGTCTCACTGTGTATTTGGTATACAGCAGCATCAGGCTGCAAGGAGAAGAATCTACACAAAAATCCTTTTTTAATAGGAATGGTTTGATTGCATGGGGAATGGGGGTTTCTTTGTTGCTCATGAAAATATTGTGATTAGCACCGGCTTTTACAGAACAATTTTTTTAAAACCACATTAGCAGCAGCAGTGAGCTAGCAGCTTTCCAATGTTAATTAAAAAACTGTAACAAATCCAGTTCTTAGGTTAGCAGTAAATAGCCCACACCATAATTACCCACCAGAAATATAGAGAGCTTTTGCTTCAGCTCTTTCTAAAGTCTAATTAGGGGAAAGCAGTAACTCAGCAGCAAGTGACAGAGACAAGGGGTAAAAGAAAAATGCAGATCAGAGGGACACTCTTGATAAGGACATGATCTATGTGAACAACATGAAAATTGTGTGTGACTTTGAAAACAAATGTCAATGTGACCCCTAAATGCAAACTTTCACTCACAATAACTTACTGACCTGCTTATCACCTCAATATTGAGAGGAACAATGTATTTGTAACCATCTATATCTTGCTTCTCTTATCAGTAACGTGTTCATTACACCTATTAATAATGTAATTTCCCTTTATAAACTATTTATAAATGTACATTAACTAGAATGTGTGATCAAAGGTTCCAGTGTTAGACCTTGGGTGTGTGAATATTTATAAATGGGCTAATATTTACATGGTATATTCAACTTAACAATAATGCAAACAGCGAATAGCTCAAATAAGCTTTCTGGAGTTTGAAGTTAAGAATGCATTCTGAACAGACAGATTAGCAATTAGAAAAGATTTTTTAAAAGTCTGAGTTGGGACGTAATTATATAGAAAACCAAACAATTTTCAAGCAGAAAGTTCCAAAGGAAAAATAAAACACTTAAATTTCTTGGGGGAAATAGAGTTTTAATGCAGGAATTTACCTTTTGAATCAAAACAATTCAGTTCATTTTGACTGAAAATGTCATTTTTTGGACACGGAAAGATTTTAGGTTCCATTTGAGTTTTGAAAGTGGAGGTATATTTTCTTTTTTTGTCCTTGCCTTTTTCATTTTTGCACCATTTTTCCACTGCAAAAAGAAAAAGAAAAACAGTAATATTGTGAACATTAAAAAAAGAAAACAATTTTCACACTTATTTTTATTTGTTTTCAAATTTATTTTTAGGTGGAAAACAATAAAGAAAGAAGTGTAGAGAAGTTTAAAAACATGCGTTTTCCCCACTTTCATTTACACTGTTACCTTTTCCTCCTGCTTTTCTTCCCAGTGAATAAAAGGGATCAGAGATTATAAAAACAATTAAATAAAAAGGTGGGAGAGGAGGGGAGAGGGAGAGAGAAAAGAGGGTTTAGGCCTAAAATCTCCAAACTGAAAATAACCTCCCCGAATTTTACTGTTTCTACTAAATGAAGCAAAATTGAAGCAAAATTCTTCACATTAAGTCAAAACAAAATTTGAGTTGAATCAACATTTCAGAATGAAAAATTTCAGTTTGAATTGCATTAGCACAATTAACTTCATTTCAAAATGGTGATTCAAAATGAATCTTTTGATTTTAATTTTCCCACATGAAAATTGTTTCAAAACAGACATTTTTTCCCCACGGAAAATGTTGATTCCGGCAAAACTGTACTTTCCGCTGGGAAAATTTTTCAGTTGAAAAATGTCATTGCTAACAAAACCCTGTGACAATTATTCTGCAGGGTTGAAGTAGCCGATAAGTGAAGTATAGGAATTGTACTACAGGAATACATTTCCCTCACCTAGGTGCTGCTGCCTTGTAGTGTAAATTTCGCTCATTTTGAATTGCTGCAATGCAGATTTCACCAGGGACTCACGGGCTGAGAATTATTGCTGAAGACATTTTTGAATGAGATTCCAAATAACAGGCACCTCTGAGAACTTCACCATCTGTCTGCAGAAAATTAATGAACAGGAGAAGAGGTAAAAAAAATGACTGAAGAGGTTGTTAGAAAGAAATCATCTGCTACTAATCTGGACCAATAGCTTCAATATCTAAATAAGCAAATTAATTTTAAAAGGCTCCCTCCCTTTCTTTCAGGCAAAATAGCCATCCACTTTAATGGGATTTTTACCACTGAGCTGGAACCAAAGTAAATGCAAAATGTTGCTGGTAGCAATTCAAAAAGTTTCAGCAGCAGAGTGGTAGGATCAACGGATCCAAATCCAGCAAAAATCCAGAAAGCAGCAGTGAGAATCATCTACCCATGCAGCTTGTGGACAGCTCACACCAGACTGCCTGAAAATCAGGCAACATTAAATTAAATATAAAGTCCTGGTCCTGTATGCAGATGAAATCAGTGGGCCCAAGTGGCTTATTGTTTACCCTTGAGCTGGGGCACAATCTCAGTTACGGGGACATAAATCTAGACTGAAGTCAACAGATCAAGTCTCCGCCTGGGGTAGACTTGTATTGCTCCAGGAGCATGTGCCTACATCCTTATTTGTGCATGTAATTTCATTTCCCCTGACTTGAAACAGGTTTAGTAATACCAATCTGACTTTCCCGCAATGTGCTTCAGTCCAAAATCAGATCCATTAAGTGGATTTATGTCTGATCTACCTTGGTATAAGACACTCTGACAAGAGCATACCCTCATCTGCTGAGCTGGAATCACTGCGATCCTCCAGGTTACCTTGGGTTACACTGGAGTTGCCTCCAAAGCACAAGTGGCCTCTGGGATTAGACCGGCTTTATCATCTTTACATGGAGTTGGAGATCCTCCTGATTTACTACACAGCTACTTCTGATTTACACCACAGCAGGCAAGAGAAGTATCAGAGGTCCACCATGACTAGGCAGCTGTGTGTTTTGAAATGTTTGGGCACAGCCACAGTACTTGAAGTAATATCTTTCTTCCAAAAGAGTTTATAGATTTCCAGCTGGTGTGAACGCGCCCACCCCCGCAGGAGTCAGTGGGTGTACAGGGGCATTGCTTAGGGTATAAAACTGGAGTCATGTGTTAAATGGACTTTGCCAGGCATACAACTGCCTGTCAGCCCCACCCTATCAACTCCACCATCGCTTTGCCACTTCATACCAGCAAAGGATCTGGCTCTTTTTCTTTCCTCCCCACCCCCTCCCCTGCCTCCTATTAAAATAATTTAACCCTAAGTGGACCAAGTGCTAGGTGAACAGGAACCACCCCACCTCTAAGAGACTGACAGGAGGCTTCTCTCAGTTTTCCCCCATCTCTGAGTCCCGTTGCTCTCCTGCTCAGCAGCACTTTTTGCGAGCAGCACAGAGAGCTCCTGGGAGGGGGGAGCAGCAGTGAGTGGGTGGGTGGGTGGAAGGGGGGGTGAAATCTGTCCCCACTTCTGCAGCCTTCTACACTATGTGAACCTTTTGCAGACTGGGTTTGTCACCAGCCACTTCCTCCGGCAATGCTGTTGCTGCTGCAAAGAGTGCAAAAACAGGAGCATCCCCTTCTGCATGAAGCAGCTGAAAAATCTTGGGGGTGGCGGGGATGGAAGGTATCACTGACATACTTGTCAGTCCCTGGGTGATAGCCTTAGATGCAGCTCTCAGCCAGAACTGGGACAGAGTGCTCTAACACCATAACACCCTAAGGCCCCTTTCCTGGCATGAGCTGGGCGCCTGCACGCACCATTCAAGTCAAGAGGGATTTTTGTGGGTGCAAAGGCTTTGTGACTTAAGTGGCACGCGTCCTTGGTACTGGAGCTGTAGGTGGGAGGTGAAGGGCAGTCCAAGATAGTGAGATTCAGGGTGTGTCCACACTGCCATTACAGCAGTGGCTGCAGCTCATGAACATCCTCCAGAGCCATCATTAAACCAGCTAGCTAGGGTGCTTAGGACCGAAGCACGTACCCACAAACCCCTGCAGTGCTCCGAGTTCTGCAATGCTGTGGCTACATGGCTAGCAGCGTCAGAGGCATAACAAGGAGAAATGGCACCCAGGACTATTTTGGAGCTCCCAGCATGGCTATGCCATGGGGCTGCTCTTGCTTCTGGGTGAGGGCAGTTGCAGCGCCCCTCTTAACTTGGTGCCCAGGACATGTGCCCCTCTTGCCCACCCCCAGTTATGCTACTGACTGGAAGGACCGGAGGGATCTGGACTGTGAGACCAGACCCCGAGTTCCTCTCACTGCAGCCAAGGGGGCTTTATCCTGCAGGATCAGGCCACCTGCTTTGCTCTTCTGGATTTTTGCTGACAGGATTTGTTGCTAGGTTGATGAGCAGCTGTCACCCTGGTGACCCCACTGGATCTTATTAGCTGCAGCAGCAGCTGCTAAATTTAGAGGCAGCAGAGGGAGTGGAGACTCACTGGAGGGATTTTTTTTTGGCGGGTGCAGGGGTTGCTGCTAAATATTTCCCTCCTGTGAGGAAAGTGCTGGGGAAAGGGAAGTGCACAGAGGACAGGAATAACAGAGCAGGCGAGCAGTGGTGCCAACGGTGCCTGGGGAGGTGGGTAGGTTTGATCACAACCATCTCAGTTTGCTGTGTTGTGTTTGACTGTGAGAACAGAAACTGATGACAGAGATAAGAGCAGTTGAATGAGAGCACCAGGATGGAGGCAGGACAGGGGCCTGGCCTCCAAGCTAGGGATCTGAGCTGGGTCCCAGCTCCCAGGGGGAGGGAGTGGGGCACAGTCTGCAGGGATAGATCCCCCAGCTGGTGTAAACTGACATGGTTTTGCTGGGGTCAGTGGGAGACACCCATGGTGATCTACACTGGCGTTGCTTCACTGGGGTCAATGAGCTAGCCCTTCAGCTGGCATGGATGCCAGTAGTCCAGCTGAAATCAACAGAGCTACATTGCTTTGCACAAAGCCTCCATCTCCACCCCCAGCAGACTTGTTCCCCTTTTCGTGCCATCCCCTGGGCTTCCATGGGGATACTGCCACTTGTGGCTGGGCTGAGTCTGGCCTGTGGTTCTGTGTTTGTGTTTTACTTTGATGCTGTGGTAGGTGACATTTCTTGTGAATAAAATGAGAAAGGGAGGAAGGAAAGGAGGATGGACTAGCAAGGACATTCTAAGATTAAATGGATGGGCAGACATTCTTACAAGACCCTTCTCCCCAGTCCCTTGTCCACTTCTTACTCCTGAGGCTGTAAGCTCCTCAGAGCAGGGACCAAGTCCTCATAGATCTCTGGAAAAATCTGGGAAATGAACCCAAGAATCCTGCTATTCAGGTCCTTGTTCTACTTGCTGGGCAGCACAGTCTGTCTGGAATACTCTTGATGGCATTCCCCTATCCAAACCAACAAGGATGAGACTAGCAATCTGGGTTGGTAATATGAAGGTTTCACCAGCTGTTATGGATGGATGGGTGGCTATGTATAAATTCAACCTAGATAGACAGATAGACAGACACACTGACTGATAGACAATATAGGGAGGTAAAGGAAAGGGAGACAATTATTCTAACCTTAATAACCACTGTAGGTTACTTTCAAGCCCCACTTGATCGCTAGATCTCTTGATGGAAATTGATGAGGCTTCCATGAAACTGGAAGAGTTCTGTCATTTCCCACTAGACCAGGATCTGTCCCATTGGGTTTTGAGGCCATATGCCTCACAGTTAACCAGTCAGGGTGAGACGTAGCCCCACAGGAGTCAGGCAAGTTTTAATCCTGTGCAAAAAAAAGGTTCCTTTTGAAAAAGAAAAATGTCAGTGACTGCAAGCTATTGCAGGGTGTGGGATCAAAACTTCCTAGGATTGTCTGTGTATAGCAAAGGGCAGCTTCAGGGTATGGCTAGTCTGTGCAAGGCACCATTAGGTCTCAACCCTGCCCTGGAAAGGCCACCTCTAAGGAACCCAAGAAAAGTTCAGTCACTAGGGCACATTACAGTGGCATCAGTCACATTGTCATCCTACTGCAGCTAAAGATCTAGCTTACAATGGGGAGCAATGCTTCACTGGACCTCCAGGCAGAAACTGGGGGAAAACTAGTAGATTGTTTCTTTCCCCAAGATTTAGATACTTTTAAGATTTTCCTTCAACTTCAGAGAGGTAGAGAAGACACAGGAGGGAGGAGATCATGGTGTCAGTTGAACTGGTGCAAAACAAGAGTAATTGTACCAGCATCAGTGAAGTTACCCTAGTGTGAGCAGGATCTGTCCCTGTATGTGTGCATGTGTATATGTATGTGCATAAGTATCTATGAAATTTGGGAGTGACTATGAGAAAGAGGAGTTTGTGTGCATATGTGTACATGAGTCTGTGTGTGTAAATGTGCATGTGAGGAACCTGTGCATTTGAATACAACCATATGTGGTGAATCTGTGTGCAGAAGTGCATGCATGTAAAAGTGTATATATCTTAAAGAGTTCATATGCATGATTATGTTTGCATGTGAAGAGCTTGTTGGCATGACTGTGTGTGCTTCAGGAATTTTTGCATGGATATGTGTGCACGTTCAACATTTTTGTGTGCACTTGTGATTGTACATGAGGAGTTTGCATGTGTGTGACAGAGTATATCAAGAGCAACATGCATGAGCAAAAAACATCGGAGCTCATTTTCTGAGATGAATCAAAAAAACCGCCTCAGCCTACAGAGAGCAAGAGCTGGTGGGACACAGGTCTTCCCAGCTCTGCTAGAAACCCCTGCTGACCTTGGGCAAGTCGTTTCACCTCTTCAACACCCGCTTTATTTCCTCTGTGTGTGTGTGCGTGCGCAGTGCCCCACACCACACGGCACTCATTTGCTTGGAGCTGTTTAAACACTACTGCAAATGATAATAATAGTAACAACAACACAATTAAAACACCACTAGGTTCCCCAGGCCAAATTGCTCCCTGGTGTAATGTCATTTTTACCATTTTTACCAAAAATTCCATTTTTAAGCATGGGGATGCTGATACACGAGACACAGGAGGCTGCCGGAACACGGTAATTGCCACACTCCAGCAGACTCGATTAACCAAGTCTGCTTCAACGCTCTTTAATTCCAGCGCATCAGAGCAGCCTCCGTGCTTGTATATAGGTGCCCTCCACTGTGAAATACTGGAAAAAGGTGCATTCGTCTATTTTAATGCACAATGGCTAAAGAGCATTTTTATGATGCTTTAATACTCATTAAAATAGGCTAATGTACATTAAACCTCACATGTAGACAAGCTCACTGAGGGACAGATTTAATTCCATCAGGTTTAGCAAGATGTAAATTGAACAGTGTTGCCTGGGACCCCACCCCACTCAGTCTAGTCGAGGCCAGGAGAGTGGAAGGTTTCTAGGCTTGTGTAATGCCTGTGCCAATGGGCTGAGAGAGAAGCCAGCAGCTGGGGAGGCAGTGCTCAGAAGTGGCTGAGAAGGGGGTAGTCATAGAAGCCCTCTCTTCACTTTTACCTTCAATTTTTGCCCGTTTCCTTGGCATGCAATTTATACTCCCTTGAAATACCGCTTCCCACTTCCCAGCCCCACTGTAGTCTCACTGGCTAGGGACAGAAGTTATACATAAACTTGTTTAAGTCATCAGAACCTGGTTTAAACCTGTAGCAGAACAGAAGTTCAGTGCACATAAAACAGTTTCAAAATGCCTGAAACTGGTTTAAGATAAACCTGATTGAATGTATTATCAGGCTTAACTGATTCGGGTCAAACTGGTTTATGAAACTTTAGTCCCAGACCCCTTCCTGGTTCAAGTTAAATCACAGTCCCCCAGCCTACTTTCCAGCCCTGGGCTGTACTGTGCTGTCTGCTCCAGAAGAGAAGGGCTGGAGGGTAGTGGGGAGAGGAGCAAGGACTGCCCCCCGCAAGGCAAACCCTGACTGGGATCTGGGGCCCAGGAGATGGGTTAAACTTTCCTTCCCCCAAGTACAGAGCTGCCCTGCCCTGCTAAAAATTTACTGATGGCTGTGACTAAGGACTACAAATCCCAGAAGCACATGGAAGCAGGAAGAAGTGATGAGCAGCCCTGCCGAGTCCTACTGTTGTGATTCTGGACTGCAAATCCCAGAGACCTCAGGGGCAGCAGGAAGAGAAAGCGAACACACAACCCATGTTGGCTGTGCACCAGAGAGCTGTGCTGTAGCACCCTTCTCCCCCCGGCTGGCTTCTGGCCTGAGCCACTGCAGGCATGTGGCTGCATTTCCTGAATCAAAAGTGAATGTATGTTTAGTTGTTTCTCAGTTTAATCTCTGCAGTTTAGACTAACCTGCAAAGACTGAATCGATTTAGCCTTGGGCTTTTTGACTGTATGTACTTAGCCACTGGGTCAAGAAGGATCTTAATAGCTGCAAGAAAACTGGACTTACTCCCCACCCCGCCCTTGCCTATTACTTCTGCAAGTGGATTATGGGTTTTTATGGGGAGGGTGGGCAGGCAGGAAGGGGCATGGATTTGACTGCAAGGCTACTTCCTTAATATAGAGGGACTAAAGGTAAGTGGTGGAGAGCACAGCACTTTGTAGCCTCCTGGCCACTCATGACAGCAGTCTTCCTCTGACTGGTGTGCTAGAGGCGCTGTGATACAGGTCTGGGTTTTCAGATATGGTTGAGCTGCAGAAACAGATCTGAGGGCAGTGGTAGGTTTAAAGTGCACTTGAGAATGAGTGAAGACCACAGAGGCCACTGGTTCCAATTTCAGAGAGGCCACTGGTTCCCTATGGAGCTTAAATTGCTCAGCAGCTTTTGAAAATCTGATCAGGCTCCTTCCAGCACCCTAAAGCACTAAATTCACTTTAAATATCTGGCCCAACCTCTGGTTTCAAGGGTGGATCTTTGAGGGTCTCATCATCCAGGAAATCCCAGCTCCTGGCCTGGGATCATACCTTGCAGCTAGGCTCCTTTGCTCTCCTGCAAGAGCAGGAGCTCATGTCATGCATTTTATGGAGGACTGGGGTTTGCACTGCATTGCTCAGGGTGGTCCTGTCTCACACACAGGTGCATGTGTTGTGCATACTGCACAAAAGGAACATGCAATCGCTGACCTGTCCAGTCAGAGGGAGGCAGAGGTTGCTCCCAATATACTGAGTAGGTTTATCAGGAGGGAACCTCCTTCTGCTCAGGTTTAGAAAAGAGGGGCTTCCTCTCTGCTGAACTTCCCTGGGTAGCAGTCAGGTCTCTGCCAGGCAGCCCAGCCTCTATAGAGGAAAGCTCCTGCCTTGCATCTAGCCTTACTTGTTTTTAAAACTAAGCGAGTTCCATGCAGAAATAACCTATCTGGGGTGAAGAGAAAGGATACAGTGAACTCAGAGATTTTTTTTTTTAAAGAAATGTTTCGTGCTCCCAGCCAAATCAAGTCCAAATCCATGAGTCAGTCCAGAACCATCAGCGGCCCTACAACCAGCAAACATCCTCCACCCCCACCAGGGGCTTCAGATATTTCCGAGGTCTTTTGGCAGGCATCCTATATGCAGGCCCAAGCATATGCAGGCTTGGGGGTCAGATGACCCCAATATTCACCTGCCCTCAGCCATGTAGCCACACAAGCGAGCTAGGGAGGAGCCTCCCATTTCCATCAAGTGGGCTTTAAGCCCCAACACCTCGGCGGGTGAACTAAACCGTGCCAAAAGAACAGTTATCCCCTGGGGGCTTAAGGAAAACTGCCTTCATGGACCCAGATACATGGTGTTCCCCTGGATCACTGTTAATCCTGACCCATTGTGGTCCTGCACCTTGGAATCACAGGGCTCTCTCTAAATCTCTGCCCACAGCCATGGTGATTTACAGTGCACTGCTGGGAATCACAAAGGTGACTTGTTTCGATCTCCATTGCAGTGAGGTACCTAACTTGCTTAGGGGGCTTCTGAAAATCTGAAGAGGCACCTGGCTGCATAAGAAACCCCAGCCTTTCACTCTAACAACAGAGTCTGCTGCAGCCTTACGATACCAGCCAGCACTTTTGAAACCAATAGCTCAACAGCTAGCACCCCAGAATCCCACCCACGTTCCTCAGTTGGCTGTACTCACTACTTGAAGCCACTCTCTCTCTGGGTTACATGTAGGAGCTAGTGGTTGAAGGGCTGCAACCCAAAATAAGTTTTTTTCTCTGGCAGGCTGGGGAGGCTTTTTCAATCCCCCCACACTAAACCCTGTGCTTCTTGAGAAGCTTAGGCACGGTCAGGTTCTGCAGAATTGAGGCCCCTGCAGCAAAAGTGAGAGGCCTTCTGGCATGTGAAGCCTATCGCTCCAGTTCCACAAAGCCCTCACAGTTGGCTGGGCATCACCCTGGTTGCTGTGATGTACTCCCTATTGCCCTCATCCCTGAAAGACATCAGGGGAGCTGGGAGCAAAGCCTGCTCTCCAGCAGGGAGGAAAGGTTAATGGGGGTCAGAAGTGCTAGATGGGGACAGTCCCTCAGCATCTCTGTTGCAGCATCTATGCAGATGACCCCAGAACCAGGTCACCTTAGATTTCCCTCGTGGGGCTGTAGTGTGGAAAGACAGGCACACATTGTACCTCTTGCCACCCCCAACAGGATCAGGCCTCGCAGCCTACTCAGATGCCAAGCCAGCCAGTCCTCCAAAGAGCCAGACCCCATCCTGCCAGCTTTGCCCAGGTAAGGGAGCACAGCAAAGCCCTGGTCTGTTTTGCTCAGGGATGAGAGAGAAAAGAAAGGAGCAAAGAGGCACAAGCTCAGCATGGTATTTACCTCACTGGAGCCCATCCAGGGGGAGGACACTTCCCATCTCCTTGGGCACCGGGAGCCTGAAGCTGTGCCTCTCAAACCAACAGGCACAGCCACGCACTGAGCCCTCTCCGTGCTCCCCACCCTAGCCCAGCCCGTGACCTTGCCAACTGACACTCATGCAACAACACACCCGCGGCCCTTGCAAATAAAACTTCCTCTTGTGTCACGGAAAATCTTTAGCCTGTCAATAGTTGTGACTGCAGGAAACTCCCAGAATGGAATGGAGCACGAGGTGAGGTCAGGACACATACGGCGACCACGATGAAGCAATGTGGGAGGGCGTTTGAGGGCATAGGGCTGAGCTCTGCCCTCGGATGCCAGCCACCTGGGCCAGGCATTACACTGGAGTAAATCAAGGCACCTGCAATGAAGCTAGTGGAGTTATGCAGACCTGCCTTACCTGAGGGTCTGGCCCCAGGTGCCTGCTTCTTATTCTCAGTTTTGTCAGTGCAAATTAATCCCCTGAACTCATAGGAGCCTGAGACTGGAGGGAGGCCCCTAGGCCATGGAATTCAGTCCTCTGCTAGAGTAGGAAACCCTGTCATATAATCCCACTTGGAAACAAAAAGCAGGTCCAAGTTCAGAATCAGGTCCTGCCCGTGTAAGTGGAACTGGACCAGATCCTGCAAATGAAATCAGCCTGGCTTGTCATGACCAAATTCCCATGTCACGGAGGAGAGGATAAAGGGCTAAGAGCTCAAAAGCCTCTTGCGGACACTGGCAGAAGCAGGAGCGGGGTGAAGGGAGGTGAGGAGAGAGAGCTGAAAGCAAATGGGTGTTAACTCACAAACAGCCAAAGATCAAAATCTGCCCTCACCCATTTGAGGTGCAGGTTCCTGCCACTCCAGACAGTGGGAGGGTTCCTCAGAGAAGCTGAAACCCCCTCCCAGGGGCTTTTGCACCCAGAAACAAACTGGGGACTCTCCCCTTCATGGAAGCCCTGCCAGGTGGACAGAAAACAACCTTAGCTTGAGCTAAATCTACTGACAAATTAATTAGGAACCATTAACTAGCCTCTTCTATTCATTTCTGTGCAGATCAGAGCTATGAGAGCCCCTCTGGGAGTGTAACATATGGAGGCGGAGGTCTCTGGGGTGGGAGAATCAGTTCCAGGCCTGGTCCTGCTGTGTTGCCCTGACTGGCATGAAGAGGCAGGCCCACGTGCTACTGAAGTCCATGAGAAGAACAGCACTGGGCCCAGGGGGCTTTGGTTGTGCACTGGGGCTGACAGCTCTCCCAGGGTGACCAAGGGCTGAACTGGCCATGGACAGTGAACTCGCTTCCCTCATTCCAGGAGGCCTCTCCAGCGTGGTACTGAGGACACATCATCAGCTGGTGCAAGTCAGCTTCTGTCCACTGCAAACAATGGGCCAGGCTTCCAAGGGGTGTCAATGGGCAGCACGTTATTGGAGCCCCCAGGTCAGATCTCCAGTGGGTGTCAGTGGGCATTGATCTCCATCAAGGCCTGTGAGCCAATTCCCCACCAGCTGCACTTCATTAGTGTGCTCTTGGAGCCAAATCCCCTGCTGGCGTCGATGAGCATCGATCCATTCAAATAAGCAGAGGCCAGAACATGCAGCGGCTGTAAATCAGCAGAGCTTCATGGGCATCAGCGGGTCGAGTCCCTAGCTGAGGTTAAGGGGGCATCGCTTTATTGGAGCCAATGGGCCAGAGCCTTGGCTGGTGTAAATTAGCTTGTTCTTCCTTGGGGCCCGAGCTGATCCATGCCAGCAGAAAAGCTGTCTAGAGACAAATAGCCAAGATCAGGTGCGCGCAACCCCCTGACTCCATGTGGTTTTTCTTAAACGTTTTCAGGAGCTGCCCACTCCCTCAACTGAGGGGTGCTGGAGGGGAAGGGGAGCTTTTTCCTTGAATGGAAGACAGGAAACGTTTGTTTCTCAGTATAACAATGACATGAAAGCTGGTTCCTGGAGCCAATCAACGTGTTGCATCGGTGACATTTTGATAGGCACAGGGCAGGGGATCGACGCGCCATTATCTAGATGAAACTAAACTGCTGCTGCACGTGGCCCATGCTTGACGCACGGCTGTGCTCTGATAACAGTGCTGGTGTTCCTGTGTGCACCTGTGGGGTCCTCCTCCGGCTGAGAGTCTCTGCTGCTCGCGGGTGCAATGCAGCCAGTGGTGCAGCTCACGCTTCACTTGTCAGAAGGCTTTTTGCTGCACAGAGCACTTGGTTGCAAATTTCCTGCCACTAAGCAGAAAACTTTCTCACCTCAAACAGCGACCACAGGAAAAGATAAGAGAGTAAATATAGAAGGGGAGAAAAAAAACACACAAGTGCACACACAAGAGTAAAAAGGAGGTTATTATTGAAACAGGTTGGGCTATTTCTGTCAGGGACAGGCATTACGTAACAGCCACATCATATCCCTGCAGCAGCCGCTCCTTCCCTGACAGCTAGGGCAAGACCCATGGCTGGGGATACATCAATTTATACCAGCTGGGTGTACGGCCCCTGGGTTCCCACTGAGTGACCCTGATTTACCCCTACTGGGGATCTGGTTGATTAGCTCCAGTGGAGTGACCCCTGCTGGGCATCCTGCCCTTTACCCTACCCCAAGGAGTCATGGCTGATTTACACTAGCCAGCGACTTGGCTATTTAATTCTTTAATCTCCCCTGGCCCTTCCCCACTCCAGCATCACACGTGACCCTGATACACGTGATGCTGGAGTCTGCTGGAGCCTAGTAATTACCATGCTCCAGCACACTTGATTAATCGAGCCTGCTCAGATGCACTGTAATGCCAGTATGTTGGAGCAGCCTTGCTGCACATGTATAGGAGCCCACAGGCACGCCTGGCTCGATAGGATTCTAACTCTGGCTGGGCACAGATCCATCCTCTCTCAGATCTGAGAGAGAGTTAGTCTCAGGTGGAGGTTCACTTTGTGCATTGTATGCATTGATCACCTTAGCTCCTGCCCTGGGGGGGAAGGGGGCAGTCTCCTAGTGGAAGGTCCTGCCTCCATATTTATTCAGTCTTGGACTGCATTATGCCCTGCTCCTTCTTCTCTGATCCCAGTCCTCTGATAAGGGCACCCTTCCTCGGAGCTTGGAGGGGAGTTTAGTCTCCCTAGCAAGCTTCCCCCAATCCTACAGTACCCCCAGTGATCACCTCCACCCCTCTGTCCCTGTTACAGGAATGCACTTGCTGGGGCTTGGGACCCCCTGACTGCAAAGAGACATGAGCACAAATTATACAGTGAGCTCTCTGAAATGCTCTCACAGTCTACATGATCCGGTGAGGAAGCTAGCAGGTTGGGCTTCAAACGAGTGAGACAATGACGCAGAAAACCACAGAGGGAGGAAAAACAGTCTGTTCCTCCTAGCCTTACCTCCTCCCCCCTGGCCTTCTCTTCCCTTCCCGTTCCACAAACGCCCTCTCATTCAGCCTCTCACTCACGGCTCAAGACCAGGGTGGAAGAGGAAGCGACCGGTCATGATGGGAGTCCAGCATCCGGCCTTCGCCCCATTGGTCTTGGTGGGGTTGCAGGGTGAGTACTTGAACTGAGCCACACTTCGTTACTGGAGTTTCCTCAGCAATGCTGCACCGGGGCTGTGCGGGACTCGCTCATCTCCAAGGCTTCACGCTCTTCTGAAGTGGGACACAGGCATGGAGCTGCCTGCTGGGCAGTGAAAAGGTCTACCTTGTCATAGCTTTGGTGTTCAGCAATTAAAATTAAAAAACAAAGCAGATCTCCCCAGCTGGTGTAAAGCAGCTTTTGCTCTACCAGAAAAAGGGCTGGATACCCAGATGGGAAAAATCTGTCTGGCTCCGTACATGTTGTTTGCTGCTGAGGATTAGGCCTAAAGAACGTTTGCTGCTTCTTAACAATCATTGACTCGATCAACTCCTTTGCTTTGTTGCGTGCCATGATAGCGATGATACGTCTTATTTATAGGCCAACCAGATAAGCTTTGTGATTTACCAGTAGATAGATAAAGATTAAAAGACCAGGACAAAAGAAACCATATAGGTTAAGAACAGCAGCCTTTAAAATGAGTGTAGCGCTGTCAGTGAAACCAACCTGTTATCCGGCAATGCACCTTTTGAAATAAACCGGGTTCATAGACTTTTGAAGTAATTATGTTGGTGGATAGATTTAAATTGGCACTGATTTCACTGGCACTCGACAAATTTAAATCAGTTGAGAAGCAGGTGCAGCAACTCTTATTTGCACAGCGCTTAACACAACAGGCCTTAATCAATGACCAGGCCTTATAGCTCCTATCGCAGGGGCCCTGAGCTGGACAAGAGTCCCTGTTGTATTACAGTTACAGTTTAGGCCAGCATTTGAGTAAAGAGAAGGGACATGGACAATCACAGTGCAAAACCAGAACCGCTGCAACACAAAGGTTTAATATAGTATTATACAGTATGTTGTGAGCCTTGGAAAGCGGGCAGAAGCCAAATTTGAGATATGGAAAAGTGAAATGAGTTTCTCTAGATTTGTTTTATACTGGATAGGACAAGACTGTTTGGAACATACTAATGAGAGAGGAGAAACCCCTCGGCATGGGTTTTGTGACTTGGCCAGCTTTCTGGGCTCTGAGTGCATCCATCAGGGTTTGCACCTCTTGCCCTTTGTGTCTCGGGGTGGGATCGTGATTATTCCCCCCCAACTTAAAGGAGGGCACAGTTAAACCACCCTGCTTATTGCCATGAGGGCCATACCTCGGGACCTCGAGGCACCTGTGTCACTTCCTGATTGGGGACTGTTGCCGTAGCATAGCGTACTTTATTTAGCAGTTAGAACGAACTACTCAAAGAAAGGGATTTTGGATCAACAGGCTCTGAGTATGTCTGCTTTGGGGTTTGTGTATGCATGGATTTATTCCGGAACAGCTATAATTATTTAAAGCTGAATTCCTGAATAAAGCAACATGTTGGCCCTCTTTGAAGGACAGTTAGAAACCAACTCCTTCTGAAGTCCTGCTGTCCCATAATGACTGGCCAGGCAGGCCTGGGTCCCCCTGCCTCCCGCACAGATCATTGGTCTGAGCTTGCCTTGGTCTGATTTGTCGCTGCATCCCCAAAGCAATCCTTTCCATGTCATGCCAGGGTTCTTCTAGGAGGCTGAAACTGGGGAGGTGGGGGGCACGGACATCAGCCCTTTCTAGCTAAACTTGTCCCACACGCTTGGAGACAGTCTGTCTTCTGAACTTCTTATTCTGGGACCCTTCATGGCTCTTAAATGGAGGCTGATAAGTAACCATCTTGAACCACCTCCTCCTTCCAGCCTAACCTTGGTGAGACGCAGATAAGGCTGAACATTCATACAGAAAATGCCATCCCCATAGCCAGGCCAACACACAGTATTAACAAAGTACAATGTAAGGTCAAAGGTTGTCGCAAGCCTAAGGGTCCGTCTGGCTAGTGTAGTTAAGATGGGCCAGTTTCTGTCGCCAGTGGCAGGCAGGGCAGTGATGTGGCTAGTGTCAAGTCCAGCTACCTTTGACTCCTCAGCCTCAATGTCCAGGTGCCCACATACCTGTCTTTGGCATAAAATGAGAGCAAGGTTTGAACATGCTTCTCAAGAGCTTTTGGGAGACACCTTATTCCTTTCCATCAACGAAGTGCTCCAAGACACTCCATGTCCACAACAGCACCATAGGTAAATTGGCTTTCCTCTTCCTCACATCACCAATGTATTGTGTCCCAACCACCAGTCTAATTCAAATAATAAATGCCTTAGGCAAGGGAGCACATATTACTGTATTCTTTGGGTAGGGCTGATTGTGCTGCCAGGGCTTAATATACGCCTAATGAACGGCATCACTGAAAGTAGTACCTGGGAAATGAATCCTACCCTGCCCCCAGAAGGTAGACCAAAGGGTGCTTGGACAAGAGGTGAACAAATAAGTCTTTTCCATCTCTTCCCTCCAGAACCAACACATACAGTGCTGTAACAACTAAGTTTGGCACCTGGGGCAAAGCCCACAGCAGCAGCCCGCCCTCGCCCCATGCACAGATCCAGGGGGTACATCATCCTCCCAAGCTTGCCGAGGAGTGCACACAGTGGCGGGAGCCACCCTTTCCCCCTCCCTGTGCCCCCCACAAAAAATGAGCCACATGCGGCTCTGTCCCGCACCCTGCCCCGGCTGGGCAGCGCCTGTTGGCACCCTTTCACTTCAGCACCCGGGGGGGGGTTGCCCCGCTCACCCCACCCTTGTTACAGCACTGAACGCATATGTCATTATTCAGTCCCTGCAGAAGTAGAATCTCCATTGATTGAGTGTGAATCAGAATATTGTAGCTCCGCACCAGTCAGGAGGTAGCCAACAGACTTCAGTGGGAATTTTTCCAGAGTAGGAATGGAGTAAGGATTTCAGGGCAATCAAAAAACTTCTCCCAGCTACACCTCAGCTGGAGAAGATAGAAGAAATATTTCATCTGATGCAGACAAGGCAGGCTTGGGTGGGAGATGTACGACTAGATAAAAATAACTGAACTCAAGCAGCCCCTTGGTCCACCCACTCTCAGCCAGTAACCAAGGCCTCTAAGGAAGGCAAGCCACTTTCCCATACGATGTTCCTCCATTTGCCATCCTCATAATACTTAAACACACAATTAGAGCTCTAATCTCCTTATGGCCCAGGATAGGCTGTCTCAGAAAGTGGGGTCAAACACATGCAGGCCCGGGCACAGAGGAGGGATGGGACTGGTCACTGCCTCAGCATCACCCTGCACAAGCTTTTTATCCACCGGGGCTAAAAAAATAATCCTGTTGCTGCAGTCATTCAGCCTAGGATCAGATTCTGCCCTCCCCCCGAGAAGTGTCCAAGGGAGTCTATAGCGCTCTCCTTGTATGAGTGATGCAAGCAGCTCTTAATGCCTAATTCTAACATGCCCTTAAGCCAGCCTTGCAAAACCCACCAGGAAGATTTTCTAGACCAGGCACCAAATCTGCTCGTTGCCTTCGCAGATTCTAACAAAAGGAAAATAGCGATTATATTGTGTTCCTCCCCTCCAAACAAAGCAAAGCAAAATTGCTGTCCTAAGAGGCGCCAAAATCTTCACATCTGCATTAATAGAATAAATAAGAATAGTAATGATCACCGCCATGCGAGGTCACCTGTTTGTCTGTTGATTCTTCTGTTGTGTAGAGGAGATTACAGCCATATTGTGTGAGGCATCGTACACACACTCACTTAAAAAAGAGATGGTCCCTACCCTAAGAACTTACCAGTTTATGTCTGCGCTGCAAACAAGCAGAGCTATGGCAGTTAGGAGTGATTTTTTTTACCGATATTGCTGTACCAGTACAATCTCAAGTATGGACACAGTAAAAATAACAATGCAACAAGGCTTTTATCTTCAGGGAGTGGTAACCCAACATACCCAAGTCATCTTAACCCATGCAGCGAAGTTGTGTAAAAAGTTATTACAGAATAATATATGGTAATAATATTACTGTGTTTAATCAAGTCTAAAATGAGGTCCCCCCCACCAGCAGCATGGGGGAAAAAGCCCTTCATCTTATAATTGCATACAAGAAAACATAATTCAATACATCATCTATCATAAAACTGCTGCCAGAAGCAACATGTGCTCAGTAACAGAAACCAACTATAAAGTTGATTAGATGCAGCCAACACTAAGCATGTCTGTAAAATGCATGGGCCATATTCAGTAAATATGCTGATGGAAACCGTGTGTGTGTGTGTGTGTGTGTGTGTGTGTGTGTGTGTGTGTGTCCCTAAAAAAAATAGCAGTTGCTCCCCTAGGAGGGAACAAGCACTGGGCATGGAGGTACTGTAATACCAGGCCAATGCTTGGAAAGGCTGGAGCAAGTTCCAACACCCTCCCCAGTAGCAAACATGCTCATGGGAACCTACCACAAGGATAGGTCACTACAACCCATCTAAACAAGATAAAATGCTCATTGTGCTCAGTCCCCATGTATTTTGATTTCCTCTTTACTCCCACAGATGAGCTGTGCTTTTCTTTCTCATTTCCAGTGATTCCTGTTTCTTCACAAGTTTTAAATGGGCATGTCTACACAAGACGTTTACTGTAGAGTTGACTAATTAGCTCTGCAGTAAACATCTTGTGTCTATACGTGCAGAGCTATTAAGCTGGAGCAGTACCGTGGCAAGGAAGTTTGGCGCCCAGGGCAAAGCCCGCAGTGGCAGCCTGCTCTCTCCCCACACACAGATCCGGGGGGCACACCCCCCATGCTTGCCCAGGAGTGTACACAGTGATGGGAGCCACCCTCTCCCCATCCCCGTGCCCCCCAAAATGAGCCGCTCGCAGTTCCATCCTGCACACTGCTGCAGCTGGGCAGCGCCTGTTGTCACCCCTTCGCTTTGGTACCCCAGGTGGTCACCCCACTTGCCCCCCCCCTTGCTATGACACTGGACTGGAGTAAACTAATAAACTCTGAAGGAGGGTAGTACTTGTAAATACAAGTACTATCCTGCCACAGAGTTTTTTATTTTACAGCAGCACACATGTAGATGCTGGGGTACGAGGGTGCTTCATTGAAGGGCT